GTAGCTTTCTACAAATTGTTATGGCTTAAGTTTCATAACATGTATTTAAGTATTTTTTAAAAAGGATACTTGACTGCCCACAGAACCCATGAATAATATACAACAGCCAGTCACGATGCACAGTGTTTTTAATTATGTCCAGAAGTTCACCATTCCACACATACTTCATGTAAGGCTCACTACAGATCCCAAACACACCTGAAAAATAAAAGTTGTCATCAGAAAGATAAGGAAATTGATTGACAACTCATTTTTAAGTTCTTAAATTTGTTTTTAACTTCAGAATAAACACCTGAATAACAGTACTGCCACTTTCAGTGGATATCATTCCCCTCAGCATCCACAACATTGTGCTGATCTGCACAAAGTCAAAGAAGAAAGGCATATTCTGATTTGTGAGCGCTCTTAAGAGAAAAGAAAATAACAGGAAATTAAGGTCATGTGTACAAATATATGAATAAAGCCAAGAGATGGCAGAGTAGCGGTTGAGCGCAAGGCTGTGGAGTCAGAGTTCCTGGGTCTAAATCTTTGCTCTGCCTCTTATCAGCCGGGTGACAGGCACAATCAAGAGTGTTACTCCTCTCTGTGCCTCTGTTTCCTCATCTATATATGTGTCATGTGGTTGCTGTAAGGACAAAATGAGTTAATAATGCACATAAAGTGCTTAGGACAAGCCCAGTACATTACCAATAGTTCCATAAATGGTAGTTATTTTATCAGGCCTTTTCTATATGAAGAAATTACTTAATTTCATCAAACATGATTTTAGCATATCCAGATAAATTTATTAAACAGCTGTGAGTTTTATGATATTTACGCGAAGGGAAAAATAAGAAATAAGTATATGTATAAGGTCACAGCTTAAAAGATTGTAACAGTTCTGGATTGCAGTCAATACCATCTTTTTTCCTCACAACATGATCTGTTATGAGTGTTTATTAATATTTATATGCTATAACAAATACACTTTGGTTTGATTCATAAAAACTAAACTTTCTCTGCCCTTCCAATGCATGACAC